CTGCATTATAGAAGTGGGTGGAAAGGCAATCTGTTCACAAAATATGTTCTACCTTTAAAAAACTATTACCCTTACTCTAGATTTGCCACATTTAAATCTTCTCCTTTTGCTCCTCTACTCATATTGGGGGGGGGATATATCTCACAGTTTAACAAATATATGGTTTGCTCAGCTTTAAATCATTTTCTTCACTTACAGTCAGTCAATTAAACATTTACTCAGTGTATTTATTTTAATTTCAGACTCTTTAAAATATAAATCCACCCAGCTGCATCTTAACAGAAAGAGGTGCCTCAGAGTTAGAACCTTAAAAGGCAATGACAACAGGCAGATTATATTTTTGTTTGTTTATCCTCTGCCTTGGAATTATTGCTTTTATGTAAACGTTGACTTTTTATTACAAAAAATACTTTAATGAAGAAGGAAAGAAAGAAAGGACACAGACAACAGTATTGTAAAACATAATATTGCTGTGATTTGCTTACAGCAGTCATTGCCAGTCTGGTGCCCTCCAGGGATTTTGGACGCAACTCTGTGCCAAGGCTGCCTGAGGCTCAAGAGTTGTAGTCTAAAACATCTGGAGGGCACCAGGTTGGCAAAGGCTGTAATACTGGAGCTAGAATCCCATTACTACCTCCTGATGTAATGCTTTCAAGGGAACTGACTGTTGTCAATGTAGTCCATAGGGTAAAATTACATAACGCTGCTTAATGCATTTGTGTATTAATTTCTATGGTATCATAAATCTAAGAAGCCTTAACATTTCATATCACATTAGAATGTAAAGTCCCTTGTTGTAAAGGCTGTGTGTTTACTGTTCAAATAAAAATGCCCCTGTCTTTCATGAGCTGTTGATAGAAACACTGGAAGACGCTACCTGTAAAATGACTTCGTTCAAGTTAATCTGTAATTAAACCCTGATAATATTTGAAGATTCTATTTAAGAATGTTTTGCTGTTGCAATAAAATATATTCTTCATTTGTAATGTGCTAATGAGCAGTTTTAAATGTTAATGGATAATTCTTAGGTTCATTTGCTAATTATTCAGATAAAGAAATCAACACTGTTGGCCAATTCCTTCAAACCTTTCTCGCAGCAAGTCCATTTGCTGTTTGTACTTCCACAACTTTCAAAAAGTTAAGCATAAGTAAAAGTTAAAAGAATTATCACATTTAAGCTGAAAACTGAATTAATTTAGAACCCCCTCTAATACAATAAAGCATTATTAAATAGAGAGGAGAATGAAAGCCCTTCTTTTGACCAAAATCTACTTAATTTACATTTTAGAACAGATGTTAGCTAAGCATTTTACTAATTTTAACTACCTTCACTGGGTGATATTCCTAATTACAACGTTTAATCCTTTACACTAAGGCATGCCATTGCTACTATTATTCTCTGACTCCATAAACTCTCTTATTTGCCTTTTTTCCTTCTCTATGCAGCTTTCAAACAATTTTATTAATTTGATATCTTGCTTCTAGAGACATCTACTTGGAAGCTTCATCCAAGCATTTACCGGCTTGTAATGGGGAAAACATTGGTTCTAAGAATATAACTGCTAGCTATTAAGTACTATGATATATAGTACATTTTTCTTTTAAGGTAATAATAATAAAAATATTAATAAATAAATTTATAATTATAATTATAAGCATTATTATTGAATGTGGGCAAAGTGGGATCAATATGCACGTATAATATATGCACATACAACCAGCATATAGAAAGTTTATATAAATCAATCACTTCTGATAATGTTTTCCCATTCAGGCATCTACACGCAAGTGACTTAGACTACTCTTGAAAGCATGGGAATTTGGCTAGAGCACAGATGTTCTTGTGCTCCTTTTATTTGTTTAAATGGGGCTTGTGCAGACAAACTTTCCAGCAGGTTGTGTTTTAAGCCCTCAGTCACTGATTTGCCCCATGGATGTGTGTGGAATGAAAGGCAGTTAGTTTAATTTAGCTTTATCCTGCTTTCTATGAATCATCTATATGTCATCTATATGTAGATGCAGCTATAGCTTAAGGAATGAAACAAATACTGTCTCTACACAGGTACAGTATCAATTGATTTAGGAGTCTTAGAGACTTCACAATTTGACTACTGAACTGGGGCAAAGTAATAATTTTATTTGTGTGACCACAGGCCATAACAAGCTAAACTTGGCTGACCCCATAAACAAATAAGGAATGCCCTTTGCCAGCAGTCCAGATCTACACCAATCAATGGAAATTGTGTCATTGATTTCCCAGGCTTGCAGACAGCAGCCTGTGATTCAGTATTCCTGGAGGCGATAAGCACTTAAGATTTTCACATCTGCTTTGGGAGAAATGTTTTTTCCTCTGCACAGGCACTTTTTTTAATATAAGGAAAGACTCAGAAATCAGGGACATTACTATGTACACTAGAGTAATCATCAATTAGCTGGCTTGGCTGCAGTAAGGAATTATGGTTGCTCAGGACCTTTGCTGCCCTACTGCAGAGCTTCCTTAACTTCTACTTTGCAGCCCAATCCAATGCTTGTGTACTCAGAAGGACTTTCTTTGCAGGTACAACATTATCCTATTTTGGCAGAGAGACACAAAACTTCTTTAGAAGCTCTGGGTACATGCACTGGTGGCTGCACAACTAGAGATGATTAGAGAATATGAAAATCTGTAAGCCCCCTGGAACTCAGCTGGACTTACTTCTGAGTAGGCAGTGGATAGGAGTTCTCAAGTTTCATATTTGAGAGCTGTCAAGGACTTGTACTACTATTTTATTTTTGTAAAGACATGTTCAAAAGGAAGTTTTCAAAATAGTGAGGTCAGTTTTTCTTCCAGAGATGTATCCAGAAAGATCTATCTAGTGATGGCTGGATAAAAGAGCACAAATTTTGTTTCGTATTTTCTGAAACAGCACCTTCCTTGTTCACCACGTTAGCTCTCCCAACTCTCACTTTTCTTTTAAATGTTAGCTATTTTTAGTTTCCTTAGCATTGAGGTACCCACCAACCTGATGTACCACTTGTTGCTCAGATAAGAGAGAAATGGGAACAACTATTTAAAAAAGAAGATACTTGACTAATCTCCAAGTAAATAGGTTGTCTGTTGAGGGCAACCTGCCGAAGAAAAGTGAATTGTCTCCAAATGAGAATGTTCTGTCAGGCAGGTGATAAGAGGCTTTGTCTACAGGTGGTGGTGGAGGGGGGGGGTCAATTTATGCACAAACGACTTCCTGTACTGCATACACAACCCCTGGGCATTCCTCTCTAAGTATTTCTGCTCAACATAAACTCCCCCTGGTATTTGACGCTAAAATTTGCCTTTCATGCTAGCAGATCTTACGTGATAGCATTATATGAGGAATCTGTCAGGCCACAGTGCCAACTTGCAGCACCCATAGATTTTCTAAGTTAAGGGTTCTGAGAGTAAGGCATCTATTTGCATAGTTACCAAGGAGTAAGTCCCATTGAACTCCTTGGCACTTCCGAGTAAAAACATACATAATACCGCGGTATGAACGGTTCCGAGGCCATGCTTGTTTTCTTTGGGGTGAAGTACCGTTGAACCACACAGGGGGTCTTACTTCAGGATAAACATTCACAGTATCGGGCTGCACAAAGCGTCGAACCCTTTTAAGCATTTTACTTCCCCGAGACTACTTTTTCTTTTCCCTTCTCGGTTCCACATTTTGTTGAAATGTGTCTAAGAGCAACAAAAGGAACTTTGCGCGAAAACTCAGGAAAGCTGTGTGATCTGAGCGCGTCTTCCTTGTTTGCACTGGGCTCTTGAATGAGTTGTAGCTTTCAGCTTCCTTTGCAAAGGGGCGAAAGAGAAATCTCTCCCCGCCCACCCGGGCTCGTTCAAATCCAGTCAATATCAGTTCTGGTCTCCCGGATCACATGGCTGGGCAAGGCTAATTGATATTATCCGGGAGCAGCCTGAAGAATCAGCATTTAAGTGGGCGGAGATGGTGTAGGAGGGAGAGAAGAGGATTATCAGAAGAGTTTCCCTTTCTTTTATTTATTTCAGGGTTGATAAAGCGTACAGAAATTGAATGTTGGGAAATGATACCAGATCCTAAAGCAGCGTTTAGAACTTTAAAAAAACAAAACAAAAAAACAAACACGTCAGGAATTAAAATGCTGCAGAAATAAAATAAGACTTGGGAAGAAGCCTCGTTGTGTAGCTCTTCAGGCACGTACAGCCCCGAAAGGAAAAGGCAACTCCTCTCGGAGTCCGAGAGATCCCACCACAGAAGGGAATCCCATTGGCCGCTTCCGCGCCCTCAATGATGCTCATCTTCCTGGGTGATCTGATCTGATGCCCTTCTGTTCTTAACTGCCTTCTGCCATTCTCATTAGAAAGGTATTCAACTTCTCTTCCCAGTTCTTCCATTACTTTCGCAATGTTCTTAACAGGACCCTTTTTTTTCTTTAATGGCTTTGCAAAGCGGTAATCCTTAAACGCTCCATTGGCAGGCTTTGGATCTGTCCCCGTCCCCCCCATCCTCCCTCTATTTTTTTCCCTTACATGCCGCGGCTGCTGTTCGCGGGATGGCCTCGAGGTGGCGTTTTAGGCACATAAACAAAGGCTTCTCCAAAGCGGCGGCGGCGGAGCGCGCGCGTCTTTTCTGCAGTTTACCTCTTATTAGGCTAACGGTGCCGCTAATGTTTTGGTTTTGTGATCCGTCACGTCTGCCTTGTTAGGGGGGGAGAGGGGGAAGCGCGCGGCTCCGGAGAAGCTCCTGACTCTCCTTGCACGCCGAAGAGCGGCACGATTTCACCAAAGGCTCAGTAAAACCCACCAGCCCCTGCCCACTTTCTCTTTTTGAAAAAAACTAGGCTTATTATTTATTTTGTGTAGGAGCGGGAATTGACACCGCAGAAGGAGCGTCTTAAGACTCCCAGCTCAGCTCCACCTGGCGCTCCGTGGCGGAGCGGACTGCCCACCCGATGTCTGAAGGCGCGACCGTAAATAAAGAGGGAGCCCCCCACACAGCCCAGCTTACCTCCCAAGAGCGAAGGGCAACCTCGGGGGCGGAGGAGGAGGAAGAGGGAGCCATCCGAGGCATCTGTCACTCGATCAGTCCTTCCCGTCTCTGCCTGGCGGTGACAAACTTGCAGGACGCCTCGATCGCCTCCCTCCCCTCCCCCTCCCCACCCTCTCTCTCTCCATCTGCCCCGCTTTCCCCAAGTCAGCCTTAACCCATCCGCGAGTCAACCGACGGCTATTCCCACCCTTCCTCCTCATCCCACACGCCTTTCACTGGAGGCTGGGGGACCAGCAGTCCCTCGCGTTTCCTTCTCGCCCCCCCCTCTCTCCGACCCCCCTCCCCCCACCGCCCCAGTCAACGTCCTCCCCTAGAGCGCGGAGCAACCAGCCGGTTGTCAGGATGACATTTCCCCTGTAAGGCTCTCTTTTTGAGACCCAGGAAGCAGGTAAGGATGCCAAGGACGATTCTGGCTGCGCAGGGCTTGGAGCAGAAGGCGCGAGAGCAGAGCAGGGAGCGAGAGCGAGGCGGAGGGAGGCAGGCAGGCAGGCGGGCGGGCGGGCGGGGGGTGGGTGGGACAGGGCGCCCCGGAGGGGAGCTGCCGAAAACACGTCTTAAACACAAAAATCTCCGCGGGCTCCTTTGCTTCTGCTTCTTCTTCTTCTTCTTCTTCTTCTTCTTCTTCTTCTTCTTCTTCTTCTTCTTCTTCTTCTTCACTTCTTCACTTCTTCGCCTTTGCGTTTTGGAAGAGCTAGTGAGGTCCCACGCGCACTTCCTGCACTTTTGGTGGCCCTTTCCCCAGCTTTTGATCCTCCCTCTTTTGGAGAGGTGATGGGAGGGGGAGAGTTACCCTACGATTAAAACACACACGCACAAAATAATTACAAGTGGTGTTGTCTTGACCCCTGGAAGTTTGCAGAGCTCGGGAGCAGCCCACCATGATCACAGTCCCCACCATCATTTACCTTCTTCGAATACCTTCGCGGTAATAATTATTCTTGGTTGCTTTAAGTGCAATACATTTTATTGCCTCAGAGACCATCTACTGTTTGATTGAATTATTCATATCCCCCCTCTTTTTTTGGTGTAGAAGACTGCATCTGGGGACTCTGATGTGACGTGTATATTTTTTTCCCTCCTCCCCCCCCCTCCAGGAACAAAGGGAATGTGGAAATGAAAGAGAGAGGGGAGAGAGGCTGGCAGATGTGATGAGCTGCGGCGAAGGTGTATCCAGTTTGGCACTCCCCCTTCCTTCTCCCTCTCTCTCTCTCTCCTTGCTCTCTCTGCAGCCTCGGTGAATCACAGCCTTCCTCAGGCAGCCTGCCCTCTCGCACTGTAAGTACCCCCAGCCTGCTCTCCGTAGCGGCAGCACCGGCTGCATGCAAATCCCAGCCTCCCTCCATCTCCCCCCGCTTTGCCTTTGCGCTGCACGTGGAGCGCGAGAGGGGTCTTCCCAACCAACTGTCCCAGGCAAGGGAAGAAGAAGTAAAGATTCCACGTGCAACTTTTCTTTCGAGCTGTCTTTGGGCGTTGGGGTGGGGGGTGGGGGGTGGGGGGAGGACTCCAGCTGGCTTGCCAGGTTTCTGTTTTGTTTTGTTTTCCCTGGGGGAGGAAGTGTAGCGGGGTGTTATTGGCTGGTGGAATTTCAGGCTTTTGTTGTGGTCGATCCCTCTCAAGCGTTGTAGATGAACTCAAAAGTGCCACTTCCGCTCAAGGGACAATACCTCGCATCCTGTCAATAGCCGACTGGAGGGATGATTAGATTTTGTTGTCTTAGGCTGTGTGGATGCAGAGGGGATGCGTGTCCGGTGAGCTATATGGGGTTGGGGTCCTTCTGCTCCCACAGATGCAAATCGCCTTGGGGAGGGAGTTTTGCACTGTCTGGGGATTCAGAACAACTTCTGGGTCGGCCTGTAAGAGAACCATGTGCTCGCTTTTTGCCTGACGTAACTTTTTTTTTTTTTTGCCAATCGTGCGATTTTATTCCTAAATTGGTCCATTGAAAATCATTCTCTTTTAATTAATTAAAAAGTTGCTTTTCTTATTACTCCTTCTTCCTCGAGTTATTTTCCTCAGCCTGTAAAAAAGATAAATAAAAAAGAGAGTAGACTTTACCCAGTGGGGTAAGTTTTCCACAAAATTTTACTGGCAGCTGAACCCCGTTGAGTTGCGCCCGGTCCTACTTAGGTTTACTCCGACATGTTAACCTGAGCTCAGTGGAAACTTGCTGCCCCTAATAAAACTGTTTAGGACTGCAGCCTTTCTTCCAAGCAAAGCATCCTTGCCCAGTTAGCCCTGCCAGCTTCAGCGGGATTTACTCTCAAGTAACGAGGGAGCGGTTAGGATCGTAGCCTCACGCCTTGTTGTGCTTTCATAGAATGAACGTGGTTTTAGATCATCCATGTGCTTCTAGACGGGGCACCGGAGATGTTACACACCTGGACTTGGGAGGCCTTAGGTTTTGGGGAGACTTGTCTGCGAGGCAGCGTGTTGAGGGTGGCAAGTGTGCCTCCCTCAGTTCTCCTGTGTGAGTCAGCAGTGTCAGGGAAGAGAGAGATTCTGCACCATTTGTAGAAAGTCTTGCGAGAACAGAACATCTCTCCCTTCCTAACCTTGATCTCAGGAAAGTTGAAGGTCCTGCACAAGTTTCTAGCGGCATAGGCGCTCCTAACTGTGTGCATAGGATTTGGGCCGCACGTGGTAGCAAGTCCGAATCTTGCTCGTCTCCTCTTCATCCGATTCAGCAGCCCAGCACTAAGACTGTGGCTGGATGATCGGCATGAAATCGCCTGGTAGAGGCACTGGGGTTTTTAGTTTTTATTCTCCAAAGCCCTGCCGGGATTCCTTCAGCTTCCAGTAGGGGAAAGTCCCGTTCATATCAAAAAGCCTTCTTCGGAGACCGGCATCCGATTCCTTAGCAGCTCGCAGTCACTTCTCTGGGATGACTCCCCCCCCCCTCCTTAAGATGAGGCCGAATAACGGCAATATGGGACTTATTCCCATCGCGCAGTGTTTAGGGATCAGCCAGACTGGCGTGTTGAATTCTACCCTGAGGGCAGCGCAGTGCCGGGATACGTCTGTGTACCTCTTGATCTGTTTAATCCTGATCTCCGCACTTTGATATAACTAAAAGAATCGTCACCCCGGGGTTGCAAAAATTCCAAATGTCTCCCGCGGGCGAGTTTTGTTCTCCCTAAGTTTGGAAATATTTGTCGTGCGCTCTCCGCTTCCGGCGCTGCAAAAGATGCTCCCCAGTCGCCTGCATGGACATGAGTTTGGTTCCTAGTGCATCTCCCACCTGATGCTTCTTCCGTGCATTGATTGACACAACACGCCGGACAGGGCTCGATAATGCAGGCATCCGAGGGCAGAGCATCAGGCAGCAGCCGGCGTTCCCTCGCGCGCATGCAAAGTGCGCATTTGGGCCGTTTTCTTATAGATCTCGCTGCAAGGAAAGGCTAGCCAGGTTGGAATCGGGGTGTTGGGGGGGGGACACTGCAGGTAAAATTAAGTCTCTTCTTAGACTTTGCGTATTTTGGGTGCAGGAGTAGGCAAGTTTACGAATCACACAAGTCTCTTCAACAGCTAGGGATTTGTTTTAGATCTTATCACTCGATGGGGGAAGAAATGTTGCTCCATATACATCTTAATGATTTGTGTGTCGATTTATTAACACAAGATTGGAAAAAGAATCTCAGACTTTATGGCAATTAAAATGTGGGTTTTTAAAAATGCACGAGGCTCCCTCGTGATAATGTATAAACTAAACTAGGAGAAATAAGTTTAGTGAAAATCGTGAAAGGCGCTAGGCGCAAACTTTGTTGGTAAGAAAACAATTTGAATGAAAGGAAAGGAATGGTCAAAATTAGGATGTGTTGTAGATGTGCAGTTTAGGAAATTTTGAGGGGAAAAGCTGTCCAGAAGAACCGGATAAATTAAAACGCGGGAAGAGAAACAGGAATGCAGGTTAGCAAAGGACTGCCTTTTTAATTGGGGAGGAATATCAGAATTAAAATGTAAACAAGAACTAGAAAATTTCTAGCGATCCCGACTTTTTCAGAGCAACCCTTTATATGTCTACCCAGAAGCAAGTTCAATTGAATGTAAGTGGACTTACTCTAAGGTAAGTGTACATAGGGTTGCAAACTTAAAACTACTTATTCCTCCGAAGCGCGCATTTAAATGGGCCAGAATATCTTACGTGGTCTTGTTAGCGGATGAGAAAAGAAGAAACGCTTTCATTAAGTTTTGAAAGATCAATCTCCCCACGTGAACTGAAATGAAACCAGATTAGGGCAAGTTCGCTGTTTCGCTGTTCATCCCTAGGATTTGGGTGGCTGACTATATTGCGCCGAGCGCTCTGCCCAGGTAGGTGCTGGGATCCCAACCAAACCCGCCCATTTGGGGACTTCAGACACAGCAGTGATGCTCCATTCTTGGCGTGCAGCTATTTTGGAAACAGAAAAGTTCCCCCGTCTTGATCTGCGAAAGCAGTAGGTGGTGATGGGACCGGCCTGGCCCCCAAGCACAAAGGCGGACCCACAAAGCGCCTCTTCTGTTTTGGGGGCCTGGGGGGGGGAGGCGGCTGCCCCCCGCGCGCCCTCCGCCTCGCATCCCCTTGCGTCGAGGTGCGAAGAATATCAAAAGGGCGAGAGAGGCGCGCTAAGTTTTTCCACTGGTGGTTGCTCACATGATCCCGGCGCCTCCTGGCACTTTGAAAAGCCTCTTTCAAGGTTTGACTGCCCCACACCTTTTTTAAAAAAATAATAATCCTAAAAAGAAAATGATTGAGAGACTTTTCTCTTTCATGCAACATTAAACACCCGTACACCCCTCCCTCTTTTGGATTTATTCTCTCCATCTCTTCACAGTTCTACTTCTCTTCCCCAGCCTCGGCTTCTAATTAACACTTCTAAGGAAGTGAAAGTTCCTCAAATGCCTCCCCCCGTTGGTTTTCGGGCGATGCACCCTCAGGAACAGCAAACCAGCAGTTCAGCTTGAACCCATAACTTAGGGTCCTGTTCTCTTGGCCCGCTTCGAGCTATGCGCCAGTGTTCCTTTGCGACCGCCCAGCACCCGCGTATCAATTCATGTTTATTACTCTGTTTATAATATCCCCTCTTTCCTCCATCGCGGAACCCAGGGCGGCGTACACGTGCTTCCCATGCGGTCTCCCA